CATCCAAACGGATGCGAGATCTACTTTTTGTGCTCAGGAGGGACCGCGAGGACGACTCCGCTGTACAAATTAGACTGCTACGAACATTCCGAGAAAACCAGCGAGCAGCAGCAATTCACTGCGGATGAGGTATGCCACAATGCTACAGCCGTGGTAATACGTGCAGCGCTTTAAAGATGGAGGGAAGGTCGTTTGGCACCTGGTTCAACGATCACGCGCGCGAGCTACTGCAAGACGCATCAATTAAGCGGCAGTTCCCAGCCAACGTCGTCACAGACTCACCCGCTTCCCACTCTGCAGCTATCACCGTTTCGGATTCCAAACACAGCCGCAAGAATCTGCTGACATTCGACCGTCTATAGCTGTTCGATCACGCAGTGTCTCACCGTCTCCGCTCGCAGACGCCAAACCGTACCACAAAAGCCAATGGCAAGCGAACCCGAGCGTTTACTCGTCATTTGCGGCCCACGCGTATCACTGTGACGCTGCGGACTGTCGCAGCGAAATTTGTGAGCGTTCGCGTAACTACGATCTCCAAATGTTTGCAAAGTAACGCAAGTGTGTCGATCGTCGTTCGTGCCGCGATCGCGACAAAGAGGGACTGGCCCGACGTCTGAGTTGCCACCAAAGTCCTTCATCGACGTTTTCTACAGTGCATGAATCATTTGTCGAGGTCCGTCGTCTGTGACGCTGCGTCGTCTCTCTCTTGCGCAGAACGCGCGCGATTGACAGCCGCTCGACGACAGCTGTGGTTCCCTCTATCCCTCGTATAGCGATATTCTGTCCATGCAAACGCCTTCGATCTCCCTACTCTGTCGCTGACTTACCTCCCGCAATCCTATTGTACCTGCGACAACTAATCCAATGCACTCGCTCGACCGCGCGAACTGAACTCCTCTCGCGTCTCGTCTGCAGGTCACTTTCGGCGAAAAACTCGGGCACGAAGCTGTTCCCGCACAGACCGACGGCACCAGTCGGAGACGCGCAGAGCTTCGGGAAGTGCGCCGCACGCTGCCGCGCACGTTCCGCTCGGACGATACGCTTCTGCCCGCAGGAGACCGACCGCGTCCGCCGCTGGCCGCCGGCACTCGACTTTACCCACTACCCAAAAGATATCGACGGTCGCTGCGGCTCATCTCCAGCGCCAGAAACGCCACTCGCTCCCGCCCGCGAGTCACTGTACAACACTCACTCACTCACTCGTTGGCAACCAAAGAGGCCTTTTGTTTCGCACACAGCAGAGCCAACAGCAGCAGCAGCAGCAGCGACAGGCCATGGGCAAGTGGTGCATCGTCCACCGAAAGCGCTCGCAGACTGAAGTGCCGCGGCTGCGTGAGCTCGAGCGCGCGGTCAAGGCCGAGCTCAAGGACATTGGCGGCCGCGAAGAGCTCTTTCTGCGCTCGACGTCCGAGCTCACGTCGCTCATGAAGACGCTCGGCCGCACGCAGGGCCGCGCGTACTTTCGCTACGTGCTGCGCAACGTGTTTGGCGACAAGTCGCGGCTGTACGACCTGCAGGGCCCGCCGTCGAGCAAGCAGGTGGTCGAGTACGCCAAGAGCGTGGTCCAGCGCCTGGCCAAGGCGATCCACTTTGCCCCGCTCGTGCTGCGTGCGGGCTGCCACTACATGCTCACGGAGTTTCGCCAGGCGTTTCCCGAGTGCAAACACGACGCGCGGATCGTTGTGGGGAGTTTGCTGTTCTTGCGGATCCTCTGCCCAGCACTCGTGAAGCCCGAGATGTTTGACTTTCCTCCCCACACGGCCCAGACGCTGCCCACGGGCGTGCAGATTGCCAAAGTGTTGCAGCACACGCTCAGCGGCACGCCCATAGGCGACAGCGACCCCACGTTCGACGACAGCAACGCGTTCATCCAGACGTTCCAGCCGTACGTGGCCACGTTTCTCGTGCGGTTCCCTCAGATCCGCGCGGCCTTTGGCACGGAAGACTTGCAGCAGGTACCCGAGGTGCCGCGTGCACCAGCGTCTTGGGATTGCGGGAACGGGTCGCCGAGTTTACCGACATCGCCATCACGAAGAGAGCAGTGGCCGCTGTCGCCGCACGCCGAGTCGTGGAACGCCCGACGTCCGAACGGTAAAATGTGCGGACTCGCAATGAGTGCGAACGGTGGGATCAAGAGCAAGAAGAGGTTTTCGCTGCGCTTTTGGTCGAGAGACCACGAGGGCATTGGCCACCGACAGTCGCCGTAGAGCTTCGTAGCCACAGTCCGTCATGATCGTAACACTATTATTTAATCGACGTGCATGGAGAGACTCAAATAGCCCCACGTGGCCGCTACTACTCTTTGTGTCCCGCCTTCCTTGAGGTTTGCCGACGAGCGATGAAGCCATCTGTATCACGCTCCTGGCGACTCGTTCACTGGCGAAACACATGGTAATGAGCAACGACTCAGAATCTTTTCGCACCGAATCTTCTGGCACTCGACTTCCTCTAGAACATGATTCGAACCCCGACGGCAGAGTCGGACGTGATCCGCGTGATCCCGGATTTGTAAGGTCGATACCCTCCATACTCAATAATACTGTACAAGCTCATTTTACCGCTTTTTCTGCTGACGCCAGCGGATTGAGCTCGTCGCGCTGTGACACTGGCGTATAGCTGCGAATGGACAACACGAGCTCCGCCATCTGCGCGGGCCGCGAACCCACGTGCGCACACGGCAGGCGGCTTGTCAGTGACCGCGTCTATGTAGGAACTGCAGACGGAAGCGTGCGGGCAATCGCCGTGCCCTCGTTGCGTGATGACGTGCGCCGGCCGAGCGACGCAGAGCTGCCGCTCATGCGCGTATACTGGTCCGCTCGATTGTGTATACACGCTATTACGGTCAGTCATAAGACCGTAGAAAAGCATATGAGTTGCTATATTTAGAGCGAAACGCAGGTGGGAATGTTGCTAATAACTGTTGATGTATTCTTTTGTGTAGAACGTATGTGGCGTAGACACAGACGTGAAGCATACGGACACGCTGCTCGTCGGTAGTGCTGGTGGAGAGCTCGTTGTGCTGCGGGAAGAGTTGGTGCGAGTCATGATGTGGTTCAGTATACTTGTAGCTTGATGTGGACGCGAAAATTGCTGACTTTTGCGGGGTTTGCCTGCGGACAGGAGGTTCGGCGTTTCCAGCTGGAAGGCGGTGTGCAGGACATTTGCTACACAGGCAATGGCGTCTTTATGGTCGGCGATGCGCTGGGCAACTTGTACTGTGTGACACAGTACGAGATTCTATGGAAGGTGCGTGCAACGTGGAGCAAGTGGTGAATTTTATGGGGTGATGGATATGTTTTGATTGAAAGGTCCCCGTGCGCTTGTGCTTCTGATGCTAGCAACGGCTTCCCGCGATAGTTGATGCCGGAAACGACGCTGGTCTGGATTTTTCTACCCTGCAGCAACGCAGCCAATAGTGTACGCGATCGCGCAAGTCAGGCTGCTCGACGTGGAGCGTACGCTGTCGAACTACGTTCTTGTAGCAAGTGGCCACAAGCATGTAGTGGTGACCCATTGTGGTAAAACGTTTGCTGCGATCCCCACTCGCACACCGATGACAACGCTGGCTGTTTTTCCGGGAAAAGACGAAGATATCGTTCTGGCTGCTGGCGAGGAAGGGTGCGCAGCGTTTTTGCTTGCTTGGATACTGATGTGATCGAGCTGAGATGACTGTGACGATTGTGTTGCAGGTTGATTTACCGGCTTGTAAGCAATCGGGAAGTCGTGTCGAACGAGATGCCTGACTTTCGATTTGCAATGGAAGTGTGGGTCAAGACGTCGTTTCCCGTCATGAAGCTTTTGTCGGTGCCGACTCCGTCCAAAGTGAACGTGTCAGAGATTGCGTGGGTCTGTTTGGGCTCGAATGGCGAAGTCGCTCTCTTTCGTGGACAAGAGTGTGTAAGGACGTGGGAAGCAGCCTCCTTTTCTACTGCCCGAAGCGCCGCCGCCGATTTCCCCGTCGACTTGACCCTGCTAGCTAGCGGTGACGCCAGTGATGTGCGACAAAGTGGAGTCATCGTGTTTCGAGACAGGATACACACGTTTCCGATCGATCTTATGGGTCAGCAGTAGTAGCTGAGTAGCAGTCTTGGCAATCTTCACGTGCGCATGTGCGAGCTAATACACGAAAGGTGCATTCGGCTTCTTGTGACGCTCAAGCTTTAGTACAAGTTACTGTCGTTAACGTGCTACCCGATGGACTGTGGTCGGCGAAAGAGCACCAAGTTTTTCCCATCAAACGGCAGAAAAGCTTTATCAATCGTCGGATGCTTTGCAACAAGATACTCAATCAAGTCGCCGTATGACACGACTTTGCTTCCATCGGCGAGTCGGCGGTTGGGAAACTTTTGGCCGAACACACAGCAGGGAACGATCGCAAACGGCTTATTGAACTTGATGGCAACCTCAACGATCGAGTCAGTGGCTTCGTCGGGGTGCACGCCGAGAAGAAGCGACGCCTGCGTGATGAGCTCAACGTGTTCGGCTCGCTCCAGAAACGTGTCCACGTTGAAAAGTGCCGTCACTTGCGGAACAAGCGATTCGGTAAGAGGTGCGTTGGGGTCGCCATGCTGCGCCTGTGTCTTCTTTTGCTTGTGCAAGTATCTGTGCTGTTGCTTTGTCAGCTTCATCGGACGCTGCGCACATGGAGAGAGAGTTTGTGTGAGTTCACGTGGAGAAGTTACACGGACAAGAAGATCGCTAGCGCTTACCGGTTCGACCAAAGTACAAGGGAGTCTCCGCTTGTTCCACAGCTCGAACGACACGTTGCCTCGTCCTCCTGCGATATCGACGACGCCTTTTCCTGTCGCGAGAAACGGTGCGCCAAACGTCTCAACGAGCCACTTGACAAACACTTGTGCACGTTGCTGCTTGCCAGTTTTCCCGTGAGGATCGAACGGGTCGTGATCGATCTGAGCTCGAACGCGCTTGAGCTGCAGTCGGTCGACGAGCCACTGGGTCTGCTCCTTTTTGCGCTCGGCATGGCCGACGTGGAAAAACTCGCACTTGTCGCCGTGTTGACAGGTTTTCGAGTTGATCCAGAACTTGCAGTGCACCCGGTTGACTATGCCTCGAGTCGTGACGTGCTCCTTACTGGTGATTGCTACCGCCTCGCGGCCAGCACTGCTGTCTTCGGTTACTTGATCAAGCGACTGCGGTTGCCCTTTACCTGAACCGATAGGTACTGATGATGGCAGCGGAAGGAATGTCATGCCCGGGTGCTCTTCTTTCCACGCCCGAACGACAGTAATATCGCGCGCATGCACTAAAATCGACGCCTTGTCTTCGAGCCGCTCGAGGAACCCCCGGACACGCACAATGTCGCCAAGTTTGACTCGGTATCGAATAGCGTCGAGCTCGTCGATGGACAATTCGTCGTCAATGATCTTGAGGATCACTTCCAGTCGCTCGCGCTGACCAGTTGGTCCCATGGGTATCGACGCCAAGTCATAGAAGGAACATTTGCGGCTCACTCGACGCTGGTGCACCAATTGACCTTCCACGATCGTGTCTGCCAGCCGCGTGTCAGCGTCCCACTGCGCTGCTTCGTTGCAAAGGCACGCAAAGCTCGACCAAATCGGGCGCTCCATTCATCCGCTACTGCCGATCGGGATACCAAAAGTCAATGGACGACAGCAGCTGACGATCGTCGAAAATAGCTCTGGAACAAGAGGTCGTGGCGCTATTCGTTCACTGAGTGGCAATGGACAGAGCGGAATTTATCTGCTCGTAGGAGATGGAGATCAAGTTGGTAAAAGGAACTCACTGGATCGGGATTGCGTACTGCAGGTCAGGCTCGGAGCAACGGCCTGACGCTGTTGCAAGAATAGTCACTGCGTTAAAGTGCACATGTGTATCGTGCGTGATACGAAAGAGGTCTTGAACGACAAGCAGTGGACTGCTGTCATGAACGTTGTTGTCGGGACTGAGTGTTCCGTCAGCGAACGGAACGACTGCCATTGATGACTGCATGTAGCACATCGGGTTGACGTTGTGGTAGCAACGAATGAGGCGGGTCAAGTCAAGTGTATGGATAGCGTTATGTGGGCTCAACATGACCGTATCAGCTAAAGTGCACCGGTGTTGCTCTTCGGTGTACAAGGTTGTTGTTGTTGATGTTGTTGTTGTAGCCCTTGTTTACCTTGATGCGTTGTATTGCAGTGGAGTCATGGACAAGTGAGTGAGACTTCTTGCCTTTGACGGATAGGACGCCGCTGTCGACCACTTGCCGCTCTCACGTTCCCAAAAAGTGACCACTTGGAAAACAGCAAACTCGCGGATGTGTGTACACTGCACCGCTTTGACCTATTTGTTCTGCTCAATGCTCTGCGAGCGAGAGGTCTCAAGCTTTGCTGGTCTACGGTGCTTCGCAATGCATCACAATTGCAATCCCTTGCTACTCTCTAGATGCATATGGGGGAGAGCAATGGCCGCTAGACAACGTGTAGCAAGAGCTATGGGAACGGAGGAAGCAACACTATGTGGCAATGTGCTATTTTCCTACACGTACGTGCCTTTCGATTTGATGGCCGCGAAACTGGTCGAGTGTTTGCCTGTAATGAAACTCAATTTATTCTTGTGACTAGTTCTTTCTTCACTGCGCCTCGGGGCGATCTTGACGGGGGAGGACTCGAAGGATCGTTGTAGAAGGCGAACCGAGTCTCTCGGTGGCGTCGCACTGGTCACAGAGCTAACACACTCGTTTGTCGAATAATGCGAACAACGGATTGCGATCGGCCAGCCATTCATTTCGTTCTCCTTCTGCTTCTTACGCACGTGCATAGCAAACTTAATTGCTCCAGGTGTGTGCTCAGTTGCGCTACGCCAGTCGTGCTTCGGCGTCACACTGTGTTTACGCTGGAAGCAGTCGATCGCACCGAAACCATTCCGCGCATGAGCTCGCGAAAAAAGAAACAAGTGTCACCTTCTACCAACGAGATGCACCCGTCATGCCGCTAGAGCCAGTCGAGACTCGCCGATCGTCCGTAGGTGAGCGGCGTCCGAGAAACTGGCAGTCGATCGCTGGTACCGTCTTTCGCGTCGCATCGACATGCTATTGCTCCAACGAATTCCGCAAATTCTTGACCGTCCGCCACGAACCGAATGCATTCAGATTTCGTGGTGACGGGCTACAAGATGTAACGGCGTCGCGCTCATAATCAGCTCACTCGCTGTGACGTCGACGTCGGTGTCCGAGCCGGTTCCATGTGCTCTGATCAGGCAATCCCGAGCTTGCACGCGTCAAGATGGCACAGCCCGATCTTTCTGGATTGTCGCCAGCCGATTACCCAAACGCGCGAAATGGCGCTAGGGGGCCTTTTCGCACGGCAGGAGCGTCTGCAAGTGACGGGGCGCGACTGAGGTCGGAGCATGGGGCCAAGCAGTGGATTCAAATCTCACAATCGTTGCCGCGTGGCCAGTTGGCCGGTTCGTGCGCCCCTTCAGCCGCTTCCAGACTTGCACGAACTCGTTGCCACTCAGACCACTCCGCACACTACGCGTGCGCCCTTTCAGACCACTTTCCATACACTCTGCTGTTTCTTTCCGCTTTCCCTCGCAACATCCTGACAGCGGAGACGGCCAGGCCATACCGCGTCAAAGTCCGAGTTTCCAATCTTTTGTACGGTCGGAAGAGGATGGGGCGGAAAAAAAACGATACCAGTCCACTCGACAATTGCTCGCGCAGATTCGCGACATGGCCAGACGAGCGCAACGAAGATCTCGAGCCAGTGAGCGTTCTTCTGGATTGTTTAACACGCGCCTGAGTCGGGCTGCGTTCTTCTGGATCACTTCTGATGCGTGACTATCTGAACGGCACAGACGCGGCGACTCGACACTTGATCGCGATGCAAGAAGAACAGTCATGTGTCGCCACGTCCACGGGCGAAGTCTCGTTTGCCATCATCTTTCCGAAAGCTGGCAGACACGACTGTCCGACGGGACAAAGCCAGACGTCTATTCCTGCACGTCTTTGGCAATCAGTGTCCTGCCTCAGTGCCTCGAAGACGCCCACACGGTGGTAGCATAGCTCTGCCGCAACAAAGTCGTCACGGCCACCAACGCATGCGAATATGGGAAGGCATTGACGTGGAAAAGTCGATGGTGGTATGTTATGCCCTACGATGTCGGAAACGATAGCACCACCAGTCGATAGAAGACATGATCCATTGGTATCGACATTCTTGTAACAAAGCACAGACTGACGTCCATTGGCCGATGCCATCGCGGGGGATGAACGCAGCACCAGTTGACGTCGTGCAGAGATGCAAACTTGCGACGACCCTCGACATCTTCTGGTCGGTGAGATTGCTGCACGGGACCATGACCTGATGGTACAATCAATTGGTCTCTTGTTTGCTCTTCTTCGCAACGTCGTTGAGCTCGACGTACTGTGCATCGTCATCTGCCTGCGCTAGTCTTAACGAAGCTGCATCAGTCAGTTGCGTGAGGTAAATCGTCTGTGCCCGAGTGTCCGTCGCCCCAACTCTAGCACAACATCACCAAATTGTCACTGTTCAAATGCGTGTGCGTTCTCTTTTTTTTGCTCAATCGACCATTTCTGCTTCATCTGGACCAAATACTTTGCGCGTGGTACACAACCGTTTCGCACGAAGAGGCGGCTCGGCGGATCTGGTACATACCGCGGCATACCGGTTTGCGCTCAATTTGGCTGGTCCCCGCAGTCGAGAGCTGCGGCGGGACGATGGAGCAGTTCGACGGGGACGCACCGCGCAATCACGTGGAGGCAGAGAGCCGCGACGAGAAGAAGAGCCACCGCAAGGACAAGCCATGGGACAGCGACGACATTGACCACTGGACGATCAGTCCGTGGCAGGACGAGGTGCAGGACGAGAAGAACCCGGAGAAGAAGGTCAAGATGCCTGGACTGCTGGAGGAGAGCTCGTTTGCCACTCTGTTCCCCAAGTACCGTGAAAAGTACCTGCGCGAAGTGTGGCCGATTGTGACGAAAGCACTGGACGCTCACAAGGTCTCGTGCGAGCTCAATCTGGTGGAAGGCAGCATGACCGTGCGAACGACGCGCAAGACAACTGACCCGTACATTGTGCTCAAGGCGCGAGACTTGATCAAGCTGCTGGCACGCAGCATTCCTGTGAATCAAGCAGTGAAGATACTGGACGACAATGTCCAGTGCGACATCATCAAGATTGGTGGCCTCGTTCGCAACAAGGAGCGCTTTGTCAAGCGTCGCCAACGTCTCGTGGGCCCTGATGGTGCGACGCTCAAGGCTATTGAACTGCTCACCGACTGCTACGTGCTCGTACAGGGCAACACGGTGTCGGCCATGGGCAGCTACCAAGGTCTGCGCAATGTCCGCAAGATCGTTGAGGACTGCTTTGCAAACGTGCACCCGATTTATAACGTCAAGCGGCTCATGATCAAGCGGGAGCTGTCGAAAGACCCGAAGTTGAAAGGCGAAAACTGGGAGCGGTTCTTGCCTTCGTTCAAAAAGCAGAATGTGCAGACAAAGAAGCCGAGAAAGGTGCGTGAGAAGCGCGAATACACGCCGTTCCCGCCGGCACCTGCCGCCAGCAAGGTGGACAAGGAGATTGAGAGTGGCGAGTATTTTATGAAAGAGCACGAACGCAAGGCGATCAAGAAGCAGAAAAAGCACGAGGAGAACCTCCAAGTGCTGCAGAAACGCAAGGCCGATAAAATGGCCGAGTTTGTCGCGCCGAACGAGAAGGAAGCTGCAAAAGCGCGGAAAAAACAAAAGGCTGAGGCTCAAGAGGCGAACAAACGTGCCACGTCTGTCCAGGCTCTCAAGCAGAAGTTTCTCAGTCAGAAGGTGAGCAAAGTCTGCATTCGTGTATCTGCAGGAACATTCATTACTAACGTCGACAACCCTTTCTTCTTCTTGTACAGAGTGCGAAGACACCGTCTGATCGCAAGAGTGCTGCTACGTCCGTGAACGATTACGTGGCCCTGCCGTCCAAGACGAAATGAGACGGCTGATGCGTGACTAGACTATAAACGTTCATCCTTTGTTTTGCTCTTGCAGTGCAGTTGTCATGCTTTGATCGTGTGTGCTGCTCGCTTTCTACGGTATTGCGTATGTTATACAGCGCAAGTGCGACGGTAAACTAGCACTGCTGTACTTCGTGTGCTCATCACGGGAAGCATGCGCCTGCAAAAGTAGGGGCCAGGAGAAACGTGCCCATTTGCGTCCTATACTTGCACTATCCGCACTGCCTTCATGTAGTTATTGTCGCATGCAGCGGACATGTTGTAGCCGTAGCTAATGTCCGTCACCGGGAGATGCACAATCACAGCGCTTTTCATTTCCATCCAGCACTGTTGTGTATTTTTGATGACTGTGTAGATGTGACCTCGACCAAGTTGGAAGCGCATACACTGATGCGAATGTAAAACTGCTTCACAAGAGACGTATGGCGGTCATCGTTTCCTTCGCACGTCGTTCACCCGGTCTTGTCCAAGCTGTCGATTGCAAGCAACAAAGACCACGTCCCTCCCGCCAGGACAACTACAAGGCCCGTGAAAGCCCCCACAAGTCTCACGAAGACTGCGTTTCCCCATTCTTTGTTTCCTCTCCCCATAACTCCTCGTCCTCGTCCTCGTCCTCGTCCCCGTCCTCCATTACCACTCGCTGCCTCGTTCACTTCTCCCCCTTCGCCACAATGGCAGTGTACAATCCGCCGCACGCGTCTTCCAGCAGATCCAACACGTGGTCAAAGCCGCCAGTGTACCACGGATCGGGAACACACGCGACACCCTCAAACGCCGTGCAGTAGCGCGTCATCAGTGAGAGCTTCGACGCCGCGAGACGCCGACACGGCGCGCCGCCCCAGGCCTCCGCGGCCTCGAGCACAGCCGCCTCGTTGCGCTCGTCCATGCAGACGATGTAGTCCGCGTCGTCAATGTCCCGTCTCGTCAGCGGCCGCGAGCGCGACGTCATCGCGTAGCTGCGCTTGTGCGCCGCGCGGATCATGCGCGAGTCTGCTGCGTCGCCTTCGTGGTACGACGTACCGCCTTCGAGGTACCAGTCGGAGGCGCCGCCGCCGGTACCACACGAGTCGATGTGGATCGAAGGTGCCCCGGCGGCTTCGCTTCGAGCGACAATGCTCTTCAACACGGCCTCGGCCGCTGGGCTGCGGCAGATGTTGCCCAGACACACGAAGAGCACGCTCACCATAGTGGAATCCAGTCACGTGCTGGACGTGTCGACGGCGGGGGTCAAAGGTGGCGCGGAGGTTGTTCGAACTGGTTTCTGTTGCAGGCAGCCCATCGAGCAACCTCTAGTTGTTTATTTATCTGTCCACCTGTATGTGTTTATCTTTTCACCTGTATGCATTTAGCTGTCGACCTTTTTTATTTATCGGTTCACCGGAATGAATTTACTTTTCCACCATTAGTTTCTAACTAAAAGAAACGCCACAAAGTTTTCGGCAGGCAGGAGACATGGGCAAGAAGAAGCGACGCGAGGACAGTGCGGGCGGCAACGCCCCGCAGCGACGCATCTATTGCTACTACTGCGACCGCAACTTTGACGACGAGAAGGTGCTGATTCTACATCAGAAAGCGCGGCACTTCAAGTGTCCGACGTGCTACAAGAAGCTCAGTACGATCAGTGGCATGATCATCCACATCCAGCAAGTGCACAAGGAGAGCCTCAAGAGCATTCCGAACGCAAAGCCGGGCAAAGAGAGCGTGGACGTGGAAGTCTATGGCATGGAAGGCATACCAGGTGGGTGCTGCATTGCTGTTGGGCCGACTTTGTTGCGTCGGTTGCAATGGCCACGCACGATGCGAGTCAGAGAGGTTTTTGATTGACTTGCACGTGAGAGTAAACATTTGTTTTGTGTCTTATTGTACCTCTGTGGTGTTTGCTGATGCATGCGTAATGCGGGACAGACGCTACTGGAGGCAGTACGAAGAAACCGAGGCTGGATGGACCTCCTGTGGCAATGATTGGAGGATATGCTGGTCGAGGAGTACCACCGCCAATGTTTGGTGGCGGTCGAGGACCTCTACCGATGCCGTTTCCAGGAGGCATGGCACCGCCTGGTGCAGGGATGGCCATGCGGCCGCCCCCACCTCGAGTTTTTGCTCCTGGCGGCGTGATGCCGCCTTCTCGGGCACCAGGCTATCCTGTGTACGGTGGTGGCATGCCACCGCAATGGCCAAGGGGACTAGTGCCACCCGGCTCGATGGGTTCTCCTTCTCAAGCTGCACTTGGCTATGCCAATCAAGGTAGACCGGTGCCTGGGATGGGTGCTGCAGCAGCTCCTTTGGGTGTGGTAGTCAGCAGTACGAACGTTTTCGATGGGGCAGCGCAGAAAGAAGTGAAAAACGACCTCGGGCTCGTGTATGCGGACGAAAACGTATCCATGGTACGTGTTGGATGCTTAGGACGCACGTTTGTTCATGAGTAGCTGATACTGAGACACGGTGTATGGCGTTCTTACAGGAAGAGAAGCGTGCACTTCGACCGAAGTACGCGTACAAACTACTAGGAGCAACTGCTTTTGCTGGTGGGAACAGAGTAGAATGAGACGAGTGCGATGCATTGCTAGCGCGAATCAGCCATCACGATGAGGTTGGAGGACCTCAGCGCGGATGAGGTTGTTTGAACGATGTTGTGCACAAGGTTTCGGCGGCGAACGAATGGTACTGTTCTTGCTCTCGTCCTCGGTGATCAAGGGATAAAGAAACAGTGGCTTTCCTTACTCACTTGCTCCCTCACCAGTTGCTCATGGTTAGCTCCCGTGTGCTGCTTTGCCGCTCGAAAGGGTGTTACATTAAAAAGCGCCATCGATGTGAGTTATGCGTCACTACCATACCATACTATCCTCCCTGACTGCTACTTGTCTAGCGGTTCAATTGTTGTAGATCAACATGCACTTCGATGCGCACTGCGTGGTCATGGGACTCGATGTGTCCCATCACACGTCTGCGTAGCCGCCGTACTTGGAACAATGACTCATGAAGGACCCAGCAGTAGACCTCCGGTCGTGATCCAAATCACCCTCATGGTCGCTGTCAGCATCCGCGTTGTTGCCGGCTTGCGCGCCTGTATCGACGTCAGCCTGACTCCAGCGCTTTTTCCAGGTAGGGGCGCGGGTCTCCTTTCTGGCCGGCCGAGGGGTTTTGCTCGAGCTGCTTGTGTTGCTCGTGAACGAAGACGCGGACTTGTAAGGGTTGCGGGTACGGTTGTTTGCAGGTGCAGCCGCAGCGTCACCTCCCATTGATTGGAACTCCCTCAAGTTGAATCCCTGCCGCGCATTGTCCTCACTACGCCTGTTGCCGATGCTGCCAGTAGTAGATTGGCTGTTGTATCTCGGACGGCCGAATTCAGAGCCGTGACCCACGGTGCTATCGTTACCAGGATGGAGAATTGATCCACGGTCCCCTGCGCCTCGAGCACCAATTGAAGGTGCTGGCGTATCGTAGGTGCGAAGGAACACGTTGGACGAAGAGGCCACGGAGGTCCGATCTTCCGCCGCTGGTTCCTGCCAGTACGCTGGACTGATAGGGCCGAACGTTGGTGTCACAGCCGGCGGCTGAAAATTCCCGTCGTCCGTGTAGTGACTTCTCAAGTAAGTACGGCGGATGAACCTGGTGTGCGTCTTCATCTCTTCTTCGGTCACGTGGCGATGTTTGCCTTTATCGTCGCTGACAACCGTATTGAGCTCGACGAAAATGCCCGTAAGACTCATGACCAGCACGAGACTCGGCATCGTGAGTGGCGTAATGACGAAGAGCGACACGGCTGGGAAAAAGGCCATGACAAACAACAGGAACTCTTCACCATCCCTGACATTGGTCGAGTCTGTCAAGTTCGCAATTTCAACGAGCGAAAACCAAACCAGGTAGAAAGCTTGACCGATTGTGGCGAACTGGAACATGCGCAGCAAAAACGTGGGGCTGTGGAACCAGAACCGGTCGTTGTGGTAATGCAGTTGCCGGTGACAAAGTGCAGACATCTGCATGCGAATAACAGCACGGACAGCAAGCGCAGTTGACTTGAACAACTTGATTCCCCGTTTGGACGGAGTCCGCAGTTTTTTTGAGCCCTCTCCTGCCGATGAGTCGTGCTCCTCGCCGCTCGAGTCGGGTGACAAAGCAAGTGCAGCCTGTTGGCGCTTTGACGTGAGACGGCGAGATTCCATGAGCACTTTCGTGAATCGCGCGTCAATTTCTCGTTTAGAAATGACGTGGAGACGGTCGTCTACGATCCCGCGCAAGATCTTCAGCACCTTGAAGAAAACGACAACGTTCACCATCAGCAGGATAAACCCCACGCCCATGAAGATCCATCGATCCTTGTCAGGAAAGAGCGTTGGCAACAGGCAGATGACGATGAAGATCAGGTATGCGCTTGGAGGGATATGGGTCATGTGGAGCAGCATGTTGCGCATACAGAGCACATGGTACTTGGCGTATGTCATGGGTTCTTCGCGATGCACGTCGTGTGCATTGTAGCCACCGGCTAACTTTTTGAAGTCTGAGTGGTGCACTTGAGCAGCCGGCCGGATCCCAAATAGTCGTTCCATCTCCACAGGGTTCTTGTAGATGTACCCGCTTCGGTTCTGGCAGATGTTGTACGCGAGGATTTCAAAGCTCTTCCACAAGTTCCATTGCTTGTGAATGTTGATGCGCAAGCACCATCCTTCCCGTTGGTATCGCTGGAGAAGAAGATTGTATGCTCGTGAGCCAATGACGAGGTCCATGCCGGACAATGCGCGTTCTCGATTCGCCATCATGTGGTACACGCCGTCCTCGTCAAAGTTTTGCTGGGACTGCACAGAGAGGTAGTAGTCGGCATGTGGTCCATGTTCGGCGTCACCAGTGAAACTACTGCTCCTGCCGTGAGGATTGAGTTCACGGTCCAGAAACGATGTGCCCCGGATGAAGGAGTGGCGCATGCGATGGTTGTTACCAGTACAATCGCTGCTAAAGCCGGTGCTGAAACTTGGGTCTCGCGTGTCGTACGTGTCGTTGCCGTGGATGTCGACGGTGCCATCATTGCAGTGGTCGGGCGACTTTTTGATGTCCCAAATCAGCTTGGGCACGACGGTACCAATGAACAGTAGCAGCAAGACGATGATGATGAAGTAAATCATCGTGAGGAACACAATGTAGTGGAAGAACTCGTAGAAGCGGAGATTCTCGTACGGCGTGAGCTCGTTCAGCGTGAGCGACACCATGGCACCGCTCGTGTTGAGCGCAAAGATGGTCATGGAGAGGAACCCCATGATCATGATCTCCTCAAACATGCGGTTGACAATCTTGCCGAGCTGCGGACACTTGATAGAGCCGCGAATGTGGTGGATCAGCTTTTCCACGCCAATCGACACGACCACAATGACTGCGAGCAGAATCACCGCCGTCTCAATGTTATCGTGCAAGCACTCGGTGTTCCCCACACCAAGGAACGACTCCTTGTTGTTGCAGTACGGGCTCCGGATTGGCCGCTCTACCGTGACGTTCGTGGACATCGGTTCGTCTTGACGTTATCCAAGCACGGGATAAGCAGCAGCGGTAGCAGCAGCAACAACGACAGCAACAACGACGATGGCTACAGAGACCCACAGAAAGCGTCGAGGCCTCGAGTCGAACGCAGCTACCAGTCAGCCAGCCAGTCGAACGATCGGTCGACGGACGTCCAGTCGAGAAACACCTCGGCGAGGCTCTTGCTTGTGTACTCGGTTTTGACCGTTGCTGAACGAGGCAAAAGCGAAAGTGATGACTAGCCCCGACAGCCGTAAACAGCGAATCTCCATACGGCTAGACAACCCTGGCCATACTGCATCGCCTCCTTGCAGAGCACTGCCGATCGTCTACGTGACACAGACGCGCGCGATCGAGCGGGGGCTCGACCAGTAACCAGCGAGGCACACGCTGGGCCGAAGAGCCGGACTGCACGTCGGGCGTGATGGGGACCCAGCAGAACCGAGCGCCAATCGTCTCGGTCTTTGTATGCCCGTGGCCTCTTCTGGCTCGTTTCTACAAAGCAGTCTGGGCCCGACGAATCGGCCGGAGGGGTGGGGGCCCGGGCGAAGAGCTCTTTTCGGCCGAGAACTGAACCGCAGAACAGACAGACGGGCCGGGCGTCAAGTCAGACCCCATGCACGCGCCCACTCAGAAAATAAAGGCTTCGAAAGAACACCTGCACAGACGACGACGTCGCGCTCTGTGCGCCCGGGATAGGCGACGTCCTACTCCCGACAACGCATCTCGTCGTGACATGGATGTGCCCATGCGCACGCGCCCAGGATGGGTTCGTTTGCTCGGCACGAGAGCTGCGCTGGGCACGCACGAGCGCGTCTCGGCGTGCCAGCAAACCACGTCGCACCTACGCGTTGGACCGCTTGTTTCTGGCCGTCCGCCGCACGGATCGAGGGCGTGTTACGGTGCTGCGGTCTATTGGCAGAGTGCAATGAGGCACACACACCCTTCGGTGGGTCAGCACGCAGCAAGGCGAGCTACGCGTCGGACGACTGCTCGCTTCTGTCTCGGGGATCCAGAAAAGATACGACGCGCCCGATGCTATGCGGGACGTGAGCCGGCGGTCCCCGACGACGTCGCTTTTTGTCGGTCAGTTCTTTGTTAGGCCGTACGCATCTCGATTACCCGCCACAAAAAGGTACACGGGCCTATCCAAAAAGCGACTGTGCGCTCGAGCGCGAGCTCGTGGCTCGTCAACAAACTCGTCGTGGCCGACGGCTATGCGTGGCGCGTGGTCGCAGCCTGTATCAATGTTCGCTCCCGCGAATAATTCGTCAAGCTTCAAGTAATGGAGCTCCGTGCGAAAACGTGGGTGCTTGGATTAGTGCCTACGGCGGCGCGTGGGCGCGTTGATCGCGCCTCGCAGCGACGGAAGGACTCAGGCTGTACCACGTCGCCCGAGTTATGCGACCGAGAGGACCAGGTACTCACTGCGGTGACGATCGCCGCTGCCGTTGTGCGCCAGCAGCTGCAACGAGCGTCCACTGAATCAATGGACAGTGCAGCACGAGCAACTGTCTGCGCTCGAGAGCTTCTTCTGCCGTGCTGCGACCAAGAGTGCTGAGGCTGCTCTCGTGCGCGCTTCCCACGCGTGAGCACGTCCATTCGCAGTGCATCTGGCGGCCGCGAACTTCAATACAGGTGCTGGCGTAGTCTGTCCTCCTCTCATGGGAGGAGTGAGGCTTTGCATCCAGCGACATACAGTGCAGCAATTGAACGCCTGCTTTCGACGATGGTGAGACAGCCTCGCATCGGCGCTTGGTCGCTAGTGGGAAAACGACTGCTACTGCTCACCGAGCTTGACGCGGAAACGAGTGGCGCTAGTTCGCAGTAGTGCATATTGGTGCTGCAGTTGCAGGTCGATGGAATTGGGGCATTGGTCGAGCTCGTTGGTGTGCCGAAAGACAGCAAGATGTCCGGCACTTGACAGTGTCCGTGTGCCTGCGCTGCAATTGATGACGATGTGACACTGCTGTGCGCTCGCGACGTTACACACGCTATCTACGAGCGGGAGGCTGGTGGGGTCTTAGTGGCAGATAGGCGTTTTCGTGAGGCGTTTGGCGCTGACAAGCGAAGATTGATGCGGCTCTGCTGCTGCGCCCATAGCTGTATCCGCATGTTTACTGTAACTGCGCGGCGGATCGGTACATTGAGCCGGTTTGGTCAGCGACGCCCACATTCAACACGATCGTCAAGACAGTGAGCTGCCTAGAATTACGGCGCGTGATGACACGTGCAGCCCGAGATAGCCGACACTGCTTCCTTTTCATCGTGGACGAAGACACCCATGGGCCGTTTCCCGGCTCACTGCCCTAGTCAGTCGATACCGTCGTGTACGATGGAGCCAGCTGTCTCACGTCATGATTATGACCGAAGGCGTGCAGCTCTGTCTGTGCACATGAACGAACAGCCGAGAAGCTGTTGCAGTTTGAATACCAGGTCTGGTCGCACTTTACTTCAAAAGCGGCTGTATTGACCTAGTCTTGTGAGTTCTCAACTGATGACGATAATAAGATGTTGTAGCGACGAGGAAGGCTTGCAACTGCGCCGGCGTCTAAGCTAAAGCTGGGAGAAAAGCAGACGACTAAGCGACAAAGGAGAAAGCTCATCGGCAACAACCAAAGCGACCGCGAAGGATACCGACAGGAACGAGACCGGCGACAGCGCGAGTGGTCCGTCGATGCGGAAAGCGGCGCAACACGGCACTTCCACAGCCAGAGGATCGCAGGAGATCCACCATTTGGTCGAGAGAGCGGGTAGATATAGACTCGGGTCCGATATAAACCGAATGGGAGCCGCAAGTGTCGTGTACAGATTGATTACTTGCTACACCGGGCCTGGGCTTGTTGCGAGCCCGAAGGGCAGACTGACTACTACGTGTACCCGATGTGATGGCAAAACGTCTCGGCAGCTGCTTTCGGTCGATGCGGGGAGTCTGTCTATCCATCTATCTATCTATCTATCTATCTATCTATCTATCTATCTATCTATCTATCTATCTATCTATCTGTCTGTCTGCCTGTCTGTCTGACTCTCTCTGTTGAATGTCTCTCTGCCTATCCGCATGTCTCGCACAGACGGACTAATGGATCCAAGAGCGATCGATGGCGAACAGCACAAAGACGCTCTGGCCCAAGCGGCACCCATGAAGGAAGTACGTACGACTGACTGCCTTTGCAACAAACAACAGATCAGCAACAAATTGATAATGCCCAGCGCTTTCTTTAGCCGTCGCAGTCGCTGTTGATGTTGTTGTGGTTGTCACTGTCTCATGCACGAGATCAGCCGTCGTCTCGCCGTTTCCTCCACCGGCTCTGCAACATCCCAACAACACCAGCGAATGAGGTGCTGCACATCCAAACTAATGCCGCAGACCACGACCAGAAGGATGCAAATTTCACAGCGCACACACATTCCCACGCACCCCCACCCCCACCCCCTGAGGCAGACCCCATTTCCGGAAGTGGGTGCGTGCATATCGACCGTTTGGTGCAGTTTCTCGGGCCGGGATTGCGTATACCCAATAGCGAGCGACAGAAGCTACTGCTCGGTCCAACTGTTGACAACCTGCTACTTCATCCTCTCGGCGCCATCGTTTTTCCTATTTATAGACAACACGGACGTTGAAGTCAACAGGATGCGCTTAGGTTGCACCAAGGTTGCATCTCGTCAAAGCGAACATTTACAGTAGCGCCTCGTCCTTTTCGCGGTATTTCGGCCTCTCGTAGAGAAATTCACAACGTCGGACGCGCGGGCTTGACCCCTCTCTCGACCGCTCTGCCGGCGCAATGAACGACCCGTTCTTCAACGAGGTAACGGCTTCAGCTCCTCCGTCTCGTGGTGTGCTTTGGACTAACTTCTTGGCTCGTACCGTGTGCTGCTTCCCCCTTGAAACGCGTTAGGATGACGGCGACTTTGACGACTTGTACGGCATTCCTTCGCAATCGTCCGCTCATTCCCTTGCGGCGAAGCACGAGCCGCCGCACGTAGACAGCATACCCCCTTCTCATCCGTTTGTACTGGATACTCCGTCCTCTATGCAGAGTCCGGCAGCGGCCGACAGCGTCGTGTCCAGATCGTACGTGCGCGATCGAACCGACTCGTTTTCTAGCGTTGCCACGGACCGAGTCGTAGCGTCAGGGCCGCAGACAAAGTGGCGGAAAAACCACAAGAACAAGACACGTCGTAGAACGAGTCAGGAGCTGTTTAACGTGCAGTGGGAGTCGGACGTTCACGTGGCTACGTGTCGACTATGCCGCTCGGACTTTTCGCTCGTGAAGCGCAAACACCACTGCCGTCATTGTGGACGTGTCGTGTGCTCGGATTGTTCGTGCTTTGTGTACTTTGAGTTTTCGCGTCGAAAGCACAGAGTGTGTGCGACGTGCAACAACCAGCTGCTTGCTGAGCAAGACGCGTACGAGCGAGAAACAATGACGTCGTCGTCTGCTGTGATAAAGCCTCAGCCTCGTGACGGAGGTGCGACGACAGCAAACAAGACGGAAAAGAATGTACGCAAGGCAGAAAAACAAAGGAGGGGCGAGACGGTGGAACATGAAGGAAAAGCAGCACTGGGATCAGCACCGGTGACAACGTTTCGTATTGACGCAATGGACGTTGAAAGTAAAGCTGTGGCAAAAGGAGAGACGCTTTTCGAAGATGCGGACGGGAGTTGGTTTACAGATGCGGCGAATCGGCAAGAACACTCTTGTGGTAGTGTCGTTGACGAGAGTGAGGACGGTGATTCGAAAGGACCGGGCTGGCGGGACCGCGTGAAGGATACGTATACAGTCGCGCCTGCGACTGACGAAACTTCAGTGCTTGCACCGTTTGCCGGCAGCACTCTGACTTCCGGAATCACTGGCAAAGGGTACATCTCGGACCAATTTCGATATGATGATGTCAGTGGGCCTGGTCTCGGACACGAAGATGATACAGTTGCTGAGATGCCTCGACCGGAGCAACATAGTCACGCCAGAATGGATCTCACCGAGAGCGCTATGAAGCCCAGATGGGTATCCGGAAATGGCATTTTGGTCGAGCAATTAGAGTATGCGAATCTAGGTGGTCCGGGACTTGGTCACGAAGACGACCGTTCAGTTGCTATGCCCCGACCTGCGCAGCTAGCAACGACGGTACCGTATAGTTATGAAAGCGAACGACGTGATCGAAGGGAATCGAAACAAGATACGACGGACGACGGCACACCAAATGAACATGATCATCAGACACGAACTGCTCTTGGAAACATGGTGAGCGCACCAAAGCACCGTGATGCAGCACTAGTGCGACAGAGAGAGAAGTCAAAAGTCGGCAAGTTTCGCGCTCGCGGCACTCAAGACATGACGTTGGACGAACTGAATTTATCATGCTCATCACAAGATGAGCCTCGTATGCTTGGTTTGACCGTGGCTATCCCGGCTACTGCTCAGCCGACATTCTACGAGCAAGATGCAGATAGATTGGTCGTTGATGATTTACCGGGGTATTTCGAGACAACAATAGCAGAGCGAGAAGTCCAGCGCGAAAAAGATGAACGACGACAAGAGCAGGTTGCCCGCGACAATGCGTGGGTGAATAAGGCAGTGGTGCCACGTCGCTTGTCAAGTGGGCATGGGTCTTATAGCATCGTAGACCGTCCATCGCATACTTCAAACCCTCCTGTTGTGAACCAAGAAAGTAGAGCTGACGATGCGGAGGACAACGGAAAGGGCGCAAAACCGAAGAGCGGCTTCACTAAGGTTCTCAAGCGTTTCTTTGGTATGCGGCCGAAGAAGAAGTCTGCACCGCCGAAGAAGTCCGAACCACTTCCCACTGTGGTGGTGTCTCCGCCAAAAAAGGACATTGTTGATCATCACGCCTCACCTGCGCCAAGGGTCAACAACCGTGACAGCATCGTTTCGGCCAGTTCCGCTCCAGACGGTTTGCTACGACAAAGCAATGTTATTGCGGACCGCAGTAGCGTCGATCAAGAAAAAGTCGGTGACTGAGAAGAACCTTAGATATACCGTAGCAACGCTTGCCGATGTGCCTCTTGGCGCGGAAGCCCCGTTGCCTCAACAGGAAGATGAGCTGAAGCAGCACCACCAAGAGCCGGAGCGTAAACGTCGGGGAACGTTTGATGATCTCTTCATGTCACCAAAAGACATTGTAGCTTCGAACAACTTTGGCGGGCGCATCGGTATAGGTGGCACGAGTGGATGGGCCTCTCGTGCTGGGCTGGACTTGAATGCTGGTCAACCGTCAATTGGTGCAGTAGGTGTCGCTCGTTTCGACCAACGAAGGCCTGCTGGCGAAGACGATGAGCATACACTCGGTAACAAGCCCGCCCCTGCTGTCGGCTCAAGTCAGTCTACCGAGGACTCCACTGAGGCATGGAGGGAATCTGCAGCATTGTTGCTGCTACAGGATCGAAGAGATAGTGCCCAGGACTCGGGCTTCACCTGGAGCAGTATACAACCGGTCCCTGGACTTGGAACGGCAACAGACGCTATATCGACGAGTCTGCAGTCTTATGCGGCCTACAATGAGAATCGTGGGGTCTCAGCGTCACACAAGACACCCGTTTTGAAACTTGCCTCAACGGGTGGCATTATGGACGACTTGAAGCACGGTTCGACGCTGAGTAAACCGCAAGGCGAGACGTCAATCGATGAATTCTTTGCCGAGTTCGAAGAAACCAGCGAATACGTTTTTGACTCAACCACGGGTGGGTACGTAGCAGCACGGGTCCCCGTACGTGCAGCGACTACAAGAAATGCCCAGCAGCTGGAATCCACAGAACCGCTAGGATCAGAGAAGTATACACTCGATACGGATGACCGTAGATACGATACTCTGTCGGCAACTAAGAACGGTGGGAGTGGGAGTGGAGTGGTTGTCGAAGACGAGGTCGCCGAGATTATTGTGGACAAGATCAGCTCTCTCGAAAGCGAGTTGGCAGCACTAAAGAAGTTGATTCGCAGTCGAAAAGGAAGCGGGGATAACCAGTCTCGGAAGCTACACAATGGTCGTGGTATGGTGGACTCAAGTGCTCGCAAAGAAAGCATTTTTGACCATGACAGCAGTGACGAAGATGATGGCAGGTCTGGTGACTCGTACGGCGTGTCGATTCGACCAAAGTTGGAACAGAAGCGACGAAGACGTGGCAGCAAGAAGAGGCTCATCAAGGAGCGGAAGGACTCGTTTGCCGACCTATTTGCGGACAGTCCGAACGAACACCAATCAGTTGGCGGTGCACTTTCTTACAACGCTCTGTCTCGAAAAGCGTTCAGCAACGACGATTCCGATTCTGAGACTGAATTCACGTCACCACAGAATCGACAGGGCAAGCAGTCATCTCAGTGGACAATGGATGAGGACGTATACGATGCGAGCTCCAGCGTGGATGCGACTATGATGTCTGCGAAACTGTCTACGAAGCAAGCGACAACAAGAAAAGCAGGCGCGGAGGCTTTGGAAGACCCGATCGACGCTTTGTTTGACACGTCAAAGGACCGTGATGTGACTAAATTGTATGGTGGCGAGGACGGTCATGATGAAAAGGACAAACGTTCTGTGCCTGAGTCAAGGGACGTGCTCGTCCGGACCTCTTCGGACGATGAGGTGAGCGGAAGCGCGGCCGCTGTCACAGACAATATTAGCTCTGTGGTGCCGGGTAGCATCGCCGCCCCCAGCTCCTCGCACTCTGTGAACCTACCAGAGTTCGGTGCAGCCGACGAAGATGAGGACTTTTCAATCAACTGGTCAAAGATGCGCAAAACAAAACCCAGGAGACACAAATCTCATCATGTGACCGGTGAAAGCAGTGCCACCACCGATGGGAGTGTGGAGCTTGCGGAACTCAACTTGTATGCCGAGGAGCTGAAACTAAGTACTAGTGATATTCCTGTGGAACATACAGCTCCAGTACCGTTTGTTGTGGATGCGTCATCAACGGTTCGTACAGCGGAAGATGAGGCGATTAACTTGAGTTCCAGAGGTGGTGAAAGTTCGGAGTCGCAGTCTACTATTGAAAGCCCGCACTTGGAAGCAGCTATAGATGCTGTGCCGAGTTCGGGTGTTCCGGCGCGAAAACGAAATGATCCGGTGGAGCAATCGTTGCTCGCCAGCATTGGATCAGTGGAAAAGCTTGCAGACACGACGGTGGAGGTCTCGTTGATGGATGCAGCCGCTTTTGACATCTTTGACAAGTCCGGAGACGTGGATATCTCGTCGATGTCTTCATTGACAGGAGCGAATACACCCGATGGTCAAGATGACTGCTGTGATAGCGATGACAATAATGCGTCTTTTTCCGGAACCGACGAGACATTCAGTTTTGAGCTTCAGACTCCGAAAAAGCGGCTTCCTGTTGATGTACCGACCAAACATTTTACCACCCGAACGGATTCAGACCCGAGCGAGTCTTCTCTCGAGTTGCCTACATTATTGGAGCTTGGTAAATACGCAACAGCGTCAATACCTTCATCGTCGCGCACTCCATCCATAGACGGCAGTATTGATGATTTGGAACACGCGTCAGTGGATGATGATTCGGTGATCGAAGGAAGCGTCGGGTCTGAAGCATTTGCCATGGACTGGCAGCAAATGCAGGCAAAGGAAAAGGAGCGCAAGAAGAGACTGCAAGTCAAGCAGAGACAAGCCCAGCGAGATAAAGTACTACGAAAGCAAAGTAGGCCGACGACATCTTCCTCTGGCAGCGTTGTGACGCATGGGTCAAGCAAAAGCAAGTCGAAGAGCGACAAACAGAAGAAAAAGGTGCTGACAAAGACGACGCAGCGTCATCCTCTCTGCATCATCACAAGAAGAGTGGCTCGTCACGAAAGCATCATGGAAGCGCCACAAATCGTGCGCCCGTGACAATGTCGGACCCTTCTCGAACACTAACAGATCTCTGATAGTATAAGCATGAACCAAATGTTGTCAGTCAATTCAATCAACAAACCATTGTACTCGACAGCAAAATTTTACACAATAGATATGGGTAGGCGTTCGCTCTCAGTCGAGTCCATCCTACCGCCAGGAGAGCATTTTGTGATTCGCATCAATGCTTTGTGCGTTTCAATGGCTTTTGGTGCAGTGCGAGCAGCCAAAGACGGTGGACCGAGGGTATGATGTCCTCCACAGCAACGCGATCATTCGGATTGGCTGCCCAGCCAGCTTCGAGGATTTCAGCGCAGGCTTTCGGTATGGTTGGAAACAGTGCTGGCCTGTCCCCACAAGCCACAAGGCGGTACACTTCAAGGTGAGATTTGGCTTCCCACGGACTTCGTTCAGGCACCATAATCTGCCAAAGCGTGATCATCAGGCTGTATACGTCCACCGCCGTGCCGTAACGCGCTGTCTTGCCACCTTTGATCATCTCCGGAGCCATGTAGTCGACCGTGCCAGCAATCGTCATCGTTCCATCAGACCGGGGCCGCAGCAAATTGGCTTCGCCAAAATCCGCGAGCTTGATGATGAAATCCTGACCCACGAGGAAGTTGTCCGTTTTGATGTCTCGGTGAAGGAGCGGAGGCGAGAAACTGTGCAAGTAAGCGACCGCACGACATGCGTCTAGCCATGCTTTAAGCTTGGCAGCAAGTGTCCAGATCTTGGGCTGTTCCCGCAAGATGGCGTCCAATGCACCGTACTCGCAAAACTCGAAGATAAGGGAGATCGACGGCGGCACCACACACAAACCGTAAAAGCGAACGACGTTCGGGTGGGACAGCTGTACGTTCAATGCCGTTTCTCGCGAAAATCGCTGTACTTCTTCGTTCGTCACTTGCACGTCAGTGTAAATCTTCAGTGCAATAGGTACGGGAGTACTTCTCCGCAGTGTCCCGCGCATCACTACAGAAGTAGCACCCTGCGCGATAATACAGTCCAGTGCTAAAGCTGAGAAGTCCACGACGTTGTGCCGGTGCTCCTCAATCATGTGATGAACATCGTACACTGACGTACGAGTGGAAAAGTTGGTGATCATACCGCGCTCTGATAGCAGATTCACGTAGCGACGTATTGCACTCTTTGACCCGGTCTTGCCCGATCCATTGTCGTCGATGGCCAACCAGTAGCGAGTATCGGCTCGCAGAGATAGCAAGACAGCGACGACAATCAGAGCGTCCATTCCAGTAACAATGCAGTGAGCGATCGGCAATATCAACGCTTCATCCACATGAGCGAGCCCCATCATCGAACAAGTGATGTTGGCCAGCGATGTCACCACGGCAGCAACGAAAAAGAAGTCGAAACTGGCCCGGGCGTGGAATACAAACTTGGCCCAGAAGTAAAACAAGAGCAGCAGAATATAGATGGTCATCTCGGTCGCGTCCACGATGTCGTCGCCGACCTTATACAGTGTCATGCTGCACACGGTAAGGACGACCACCACTGCTCCAGAGTACGCAATCGCGCGTAGCACTGCTTCTTGCGAAACGCTGCGCTGGATCATGAGCATCGGCAGCAACTGCAGCACCCAGACAGTCGGCATGGTAACGATATTACACGGGTACTTCGGATCCTCTTCTAGCGCCAATGCACTGTACGTCTTGCCACTTTCACTGTGGTAAGCCTGGAAGCTACTGGTATACAGTATCAAGCCGATCGCTGACAGCACAGCAATAGTGTACCAAATCGCTTCGTAGCACGGCAGCATGAACGCCGACTCTATTGACACGCAAACGATCGCTCAGCATCTCCTGTCAATGGAATGCACAATGGAATCAAGAGATACGTACTCAAGTTGGAGCTGATGCTGCACGGTGCACTGCGTAGGACACGTTTGCGACTGCGACTGCAGAGCACACCGAGCCACAGGGACACGACGAAAAACACAATGTTGTTCATCGCTGGGATCAGCACGCCAGCCACATACGCCGTCGAGGCCGAGTAGCTGTGCATGCTTCCTGGAACTGTACACCGCGTGACCATGTGAACCTTCTCCGGCGCCGCGCGTGACAACAACTCGGCAGCGCCCACGGCGACCAAAACACTGAGCACCGCCAGCAACAAGACGAGCTTCAGCACGAGCGAGTCCCAATTCGAGACCATGCGTTTCCAGAGCAGCACCAGCGTCTGCTGCGGGTGCCAGCGCGGCAGCTGTCGACACTGACACGTGACGCACGTCTTCAGGCGCCACATGCACCGCGCGCGACGGGCCGCTGGCTCCATCGCAGGGAGGCTCCGCTCGGTTCCATGCAGCGCGTCGCCGCCCCCGCGCCGCTCTCTCGGCGTCTGCCCAGGACAGCCGCCACCGTCTGCATCCAGCGATCCATTGTACATGGACGACGCACTGGTCGTCGGCGCTTTGTTCCCCGCTCCGTCGCCCGTCAGTCCCGACGGCAACGTCGCATTCGACGTTAATGTCGTCGTTGTTGTCGTTGTTGTTGTTGTTGTTGTCGTTGTCGTCGCTGTTGTTGTCGTTGTTGTCCCACCTGCCCCCAGTACCGTCGTCGCCGTCTGCTGCGGCAGTGACTGCATCGGCGCGTTCGGCAGACACAGCCGCCGTGCCGCGTCCCGCGCCGCCGCCGCCGCCATGTGCTGCTGCACGTCCGTGTCAATGAGGATCGACGCCTCGCGCGTGGGCACAATGTTCGCGGGATTCGTAAACACGCGCGCGCCTGTCACGGGAAAGAGGTCACTGATCGAGTCGATGCGGTCGCGCGGGCGGGCGACAGCGTCCAGCGCGTCGCTGTCCGCGCGCGCGTCGTCGTCTTCGCTGTGGCCCGACGGCGTTCGGACGTGGTACAGCCGCCGGAGCGACGGCGACGATTGGGCCGGACGCGGACAGCGGGCGGTGCTCCGGTCGCTTGCGGGCGGCGGCTGGAGCACGAGCTCTGCGCTGCGGCGCGAGGCTTTGGGGTCGCGCTCTTCGAGCAGCACAAAGGCCGCGGCGGGCGACGCGGCGAGCGCGACGTCACGTGCCGCGGACGCCATGCGAAGTGATACTGTGCGGTGGATCGAGTGATTGGTCGATTGATTGGTCGGTCGATTGGTCGGTTGATTGAGTGATCGGTCGTTGATTGGTTGATTGGTTGATTGGTTGATTGGTGTGTCAGTCGGGTGGATGGGAGGATGGAATATGCTTTGGATCGGACGATGGAGCGGTCTGATCGGAATGGATTACGACGACAGGGGACGACGGGGGGTCGGTGAAGTCGGTGAGGTCGGCAGGTCTCTGGACGTTTGTATGGGGGTATGTATACACACGCGGGCTGGGTATACACGGAAGGTTAATGGAAGCGCGTTCGTTGGGTGTCTGGTTTTATGTGATATGACTTTGGAGTGCGTCGCTCGTCTGATCGGACACAGACGTTTGGTTCTTTTCTTCTTCTGTTGAAGCAGAGGGTTACGCGGACGAGGCCGGTTTATGGTGAGGGTACATTCCACCAAGCAGTTTTTGCTAACTTCCACGCGAATCGGCACAACGCAGCAGAGGTCAATGTGCTTCTTCGGAGTCAGGGAATGAGAAATGATTCTCGATTCTTTTTCGCTCGCTTTGCTTCCGCTCAGCAACGAAAGTGCCATCTGTGGTAGAATCAATGAAACGAGCGGCTACGTCTTTCGCAAACCCTGTCGACTTCGGTAGCTTCCACAAGGTCAAGTTTCTCCATTGCAGCAGGCCCCACGTTCATGACGGGTTATCGCGAAACGAAGATGGACGCCGAAAATTGATGGCAATACCAAGAGATCCACTCCGGCCTATTCAGTTTCATATCTAATTGCACAACATCAGTCTGGTAGGATGTAACCCTTTCAGGATGGGCAACAACCACTAACTCATTCCTCATGGACCAGATGGAAGCATCAGACACTGAACCCAGTACGCGTCTAGAACTCTATCAACCTTGGCCTCATTGCATTGACAAGAGTTTGCCGACGAAGCAGGTTGCGAGATCAAATTGACCGCTAGCTGTCCATCGCTAGCTGTCGGTTGAAGGCTTCGTCCGCAGATGCTTCGTGGCAACAAAGCGACAGCGATCGCGTCGTGTCCTCCATTGCCCTGTCTCCACATCATCAGCAACAAGCCGAAAGCCAACACTTTGCGTGTTTTTCCGGTGTGTCGTCAGGGCCCCATGACAACTGACCAACGATGACATTGGCGATTCGGGCGCTGCTAAGGTCAATTCTCTCGCGCTGTCTTTGGGTCTCTGAGTAGCCGAGCAGCGTTTCCTACATGAGCTAGTAAATCATCCACTCATACACGTTTGCCAGATTATCTATAGCTGGTACTCGCACCAGCGCTGCGAATGCTGATCGGAATGGTGCCGAAGAAAGCCGTGTCTGTTGATGAGTGTGGTGTTCCCTGCGTGCGTTCGTGAAATCCACCTGCTATATGCTGCGCTGGTGTGGATTGGCATAGGGACCCGACTAAGACAGATCGCTTCGTGAGGTGCAGAGGCGGTTCCAACCGGACTAGCCGTCGTGTGGCGGCTAGTCCGGCTGGAACCGCCTCTACCAGTATTCTTGTGGCTTCCAGTCTCACGATCACTTACTTAAATGACAGCCGAAGACGCGGACCAGGATGGGGCTTGATTAGAAGCAGGGGGTAGAAGGTACATAGAGAATAATAAAAGCAGGGGCTAGAGGGTAGACAGAGAAGACGACTCTACACTTACTTGATGAGACGTAATGTTACTTGTACACCCACGTCAAGAAGCCTTTATCTACAGCTTGCCCCGCACACCCTACCTCTCGTGCTGCAGTAGATTCGAACAACGCCATCACAAACTTGATAGTCTTTGTACGCTCTCGCTTAGACCCTGCCTTCTTCTCGCGGAATAGTTGTACACAGAATAAGTGCCCTGCCGAAATCACAAAATCAGGCCTGCTGCTGGTTAAATGATGGGGTGAGCCTGTTGCATGTAATAGGCACGAATTGTGCCAATGTAAATAATTTCATAATTGATGATGTTTTCCACTATTACCCTTGCAAGTCAATATTGTCGAAATATTACTCTTAGAGGTAATATCCGTCACCGCTCCACCATAGTTGATGTA